AGTTCGCCAAGCAGTCTATCAGTTTTAATAGGGACTTTGTACACGGGTACTAAGATTAAAACTTCACATCTGTAAACATTGAACTGTGTCTGCCACTTCTGCCGCCTCAGGTTTAACTCACTTGATTCCACCCTCGTCTACATTAACTTGCAGCTACCTGGTGAACATTACAACCAACAGAGTACCCAAGACTAGTCCTTATGGAACTCCACTTGTGACTGCTACCCATTCTTATTTCACATAATTTAATACAAGATTTGTTGGGATTTTTAAACCCTGGAGAGAGGTTAGCCACCCAGGATAACCCAAGAAACTGCGTCATCAAGGACTATCTGTTTCATTTCCATTGTGGTCCTTCAATCTTGTCCCCCAGAATGCCACCCGAACCAGTCGACTAACAACCAGGTACCTGCTTACTGTTAGGTAAACAAGGACAGCATGTGTAAGGTGACTAACGCCCAGACACCTACTTACTGCTAAGTGAACAGGAAAGGCAGGTGTGAGGTGACTTATACCCGGGTACCTACTCACTGCGAGGTGAACAGGGATAACAGGTGTAAGGAAATATGCCCAACATTTCCACCCGTGCCGGGGACTGAACCATGGACACTCAGTGTAAGGCGAGTGCGTTGTCAACTGAACCACGGGACACTGCTGACTGTCAGTCAGCCTTCCCTACAAGAGAGAATTTAAAAAAAAAAAAAAAAAAGTTTTCCACTCATCTCACTACTCTCACGAACTCACTTATAATAAACTTATATTTACCGGAAATTCAACAATATCATCACGGTCAGTGATCATCCTTACAGATATATTCATCAAAAAAATCAAAGATTATTCTTAGCACAGAACAACAGGTTGTGATATTGAACAAATATTGATCACCATCATTTGCAACTTCGAACTGCAGCCAGGATTGTTACTTCCATTATTTCTCTCACTAGTCCAGTCAGATTGATGGATGGACTGTGTGGATCATGGAGGGAGTGTGTGGATCATGGAGGGAGTGTGTGGATCATGGAGGGAGTGTGTGGATCATGGAGGGAGTGTGTGGATCATGGAGGGACTGTGTGGATCATGGAGGGAGTGTGTGGATCATGGAGGGAGTGTGTGGATCATGGAGGGAGTGTGTGGATCACGGAGGGGGTGTGTGGGTCATGAAAGGGGCTGTGTGGGTCATGGAGGGAGTGTGTGGAACATGGAGGGAGTGTGTGGATCATGGAGGGAGTGTGTGGATCATGGAGGGAGTGTGTGGATCATGGAGGGAGTGTGTGGATCATGGAGGGAGTGTGTGGGTCAAGGAGGGAGTGTGTGGATCATGGGGGAGTGTGTGGATCATGGAGGGAGTTTTGGGGGATCATGGAGGGACTGTGTGGATCATGGAGGGACTGTGTGGATCATGGAGGGACTGTGTGGATCATGGAGGGACCTGTGTGGATCATGGGGAGTGTGTGGATCATGAGGGGGTGTGTGGATCATGTGGGAGTGTGTGGATCATGGAGGGAGTGTGTGGATCATGGAGGGAGTGTGTGGATCATGGAGGGAGTGTGTGAATCATGGAGGGAGTGTGTGGATCATGGAGGGAGTGTGTGGATTTATGGAGGGAGTGTGTGGATCATGGAGGGAGTGTGTGGATCATGGAGGGAGTGTGTGGATCATGGAGGGAGTGTGTGGATCATGGAGGGAGTGTGTGGATCATGGAGGGAGTGTGTGGATCATGGAGGGAGTGTGTGGATCATGGAGGGAGTGTGTGGATCATGGGGGAGTGTGTGGATCATGGAGGGAGTGTGTGGATCAAGGGGGGACTGGTGGGATCATGGAGGGAGTGTGGATCATGGAGGGAGTGTGTGGATCATGGAAGGAGTGTGTGGATCATGGAGGGAGTGTGTGGATCATGGAGGGAGTGTGTGGATCATGGAGGGAGTGTGGGGGATCATGGAGGGAGTGTTTTTGGGGCATGGAGGGAGTGTGTGGATCATGGAGGGAGTGTGTGGATCATGGAGGGAGTGTGTGGATCATGGAGGGAGTGTGTGGATCATGGAGGAGTGGTGTGGATCATGAGGGAGTGTGTGGATCATGGAGGGAGTGTGTGGATCATGGAGGGAGTGTGTGGATCATGGAGGGAGTGTGGGATCATTGAGGGACTGTGTGGATCATGGAGGGAGTGGGGTGGAAACAAAGGAGGGACTGTGTGGATCATGGAGGGAGTGTGTGTGATCATGAAGGGAGTGTGTGGATCATGGAGGGAGTGTGTGGATCATTGGGGGAGTGTGTGGATCATGGAGGGACTGTGTGGATCATGGGGGGAGTGTGTGATCATGGAGGGAGTGTGTGGATCCCGGAGGGAGTGTGTGGATCATGGAGGGAGTGTGTGGATCATGAGGGGGTGTGTGGATCATGGAGGGAGTGTGTGGTCATGGAGGGAGTGGTGGATCATGGAGGGAGTGTGTGGATCATGGAGGGACTGTGTGGATCATGGAGGGAGTGTGTGGATCATGGAGGGACTGTGTGGATCATGGAGGGAGTGTGTGGATCATGGAGGGAGTGGTGTGGATCATGGAGGGAGTTTTGGATCATGGAGGGAAGTGTGTGAATCATGGAAGGATGTGTGGACCATGGAGGGGAGTGTGTGGATCATGGAGGGAGTGTGTGGATCATGGAGGAGTGTTGTGGATCAGGAGGGAGTGTGTGGATCATGGAGGGAGTGTGTGGATCATGGAGGGAGTGTGTGGATCATGGAGGGACTGTGTGGATCATGGAGGGAGTGTGTGGATCATGGAGGGAGTGTGTGGATCATGGAAGGAGTGTGGGATCATGGAGGGAGTGTGTGGATCATGGGAAAGGGGTGTGTGGATCATGGGAGGGTGTGTGGATCATGGAAGGAGTGTGTGGATCATGGAAGGAGTGTGTGGATCATGGAAGGAGTGTGTGGATCATGGAAGGAGTGTGTGGATCATTGAAGGAGTGTGTGGATCATGGAGGGAGTGTGTGGATCATGGGGGGACTGTGTGGATCATGGAAGGAGTGTGGGATCATGGAAGGGGTTTGTGGGTCATGGAAGGAGTGTGTGGATCATGGAAGGAGTGTGTGGATCATGGAAGGAGTGTGGATCATGGAAGGGGTGTGTGGATCAGGAGGGAGTGGGGGGATCATGGAAGGAGTGTGTGGATCATGGAAGGAGTGTGTGGATCATGGGAAAGGGGTTTTGTGGAAACATGGAAGGGGTGTGTGGATCATGGAAGGAGTGTGTGGATCATGAAAGGAAGTGTGTGAATCATGGAGGGAGTGTGTGGGTCATCAGGGACTTTTGTGGATCATGGAAGGAGTGTGTGGATCATGGAAGGAGTGTGTGGGTCATGGAAGGAGTGTGTGGATCATGGAAGGAGTGTTTGGATTATGGAAGGAGTGCGTGGATCATGGAAGGAGTGTGTGGATCATGGAGGGACTGTGTGGATCATGGAAGGAGTGTGTGGATCATGGAGGAGTGTGTGGATCATGGAAGGAGTGTGTGGATCATGGAAGGAGTGTGTGGATCATGGAAGGAGTGTGTGGATCATGGAAGGAGTGTGTGAATCATGGAGGGAGTGTGTGGGTCATGCAGGGACTGTGTGGATCATGGAAGGATGTGGGGGATCATGGAAGGAGTGTGTGGGTCATGGGAAAGGGGTGTGTGGATCATGGAAGGAGTGTTTGGGTTAGGGGAAGGAGTGCGTGGATCATGGAAGGAGTGTGTGGATCATGGAGGGACTGTGTGGATCATGGAAGGAGTGTGTGGATCATGGAGGGAGTGTGTGGATCATGGAAGGAGTGTGTGGATCATGGAAGGAGTGTGTGGATCATGGAAGGAGTGTGTGGGTCATGGGAAAAGAGTGTGTGGATCATGGAAGGAGTGTGTGGGGTCATGGAAGGAGTGTGTGGATCATGGAGGGAGTGTGTGGGTCATGCAGGGACTGTGTGGATCATGGAAGGAGTGTGTGGATCATGGAAGGAGTGTGTGGGTCATGGAAGGAGTGTGTGGATCATGGAAGGAGTGTTTGGATCATGGAAGGAGTGCGTGGATCATGGAAGGAGTGTGTGGATCATGGAGGGACTGTGTGGTTCATGGAAGGAGTGTGTGGATCATGGAGGGAGTGTGTGGATCATGGAATGAGTGTGTGGATCATGGAGGGACGTATGGATCATGGAGGAGAGTGTGTGTTGATCATTTGGAGGGGCGTGGGTTCATGGAGGGAGTGTGTGGTAATGGAAGGAGTGTGTGGGTAATGGAAAGGGGTGTGGGGTAATGTAGGAGTGTGTGGGTAATGGATTTGGTGTGTGGGTAATGGAAGGGGTGTGTGGGTAATGGAAAGGATGTGTGGGTAATGGAAGGGGTGTGTGGGTAATGGAAGGGGTGTGTGGGTAATGGAAGGGGTGTGTGGGTAATGGAAGGGGTGTGTGGGTAATGGAAGGGGTGTGTGTGGTTGGGGGATGGAAGTAATCAGATCTGACCTCAGTATCAAGGGTCCTTCACTAGCATCAACACCCAAGTCTTCAAGGGTACACACTAAGCTGGCCACTTGTGTTGGTGTTGCAAGCAAAGGTCCTGGGCATGGCGGCGTGTGTGTGTGTGTGTCGGGGGTATGTGGTGCCCACACGCCAGCAGGAGGAGTTGAGATCTCCCTTGACACACCTGAACCCAGCACACTGCCTCATCACCTAGCACCTAGGCACCTCACACCCTACAGTAGGGGCACTGAGGGCTAGGTGACCCTGCTTGCGGCACGATATCATACCCAGCTCTGAACACCTGGGCACCACCCCACTGCCAACCGCATGAAGTCTACCTGGAAACACTGTCTGCTCCATTTACATGGCCAAATGAAGTCACTATCAGCAATATTTGTGTACACTGAACGAAGATGAGAACATGCAAACGATTATGCAAATGAGTTAAGCAGTGGGAGAGTGTGACACCAATACTCAACAACCCTTCTTCAGTAGTGAGTGAAAGAGGAACCTACCTCGTAAACGCCACCTGTCAGGCTCTGAGAGCGTGCAGGGGAGTCAGGTGGTGAGTAGGGAGCGTGACGAGGCGGGCAGCAGCCACCTGCAGCAGAGGGAGAGGCAGGAGAGGGCGATGCAAGGGGCGCAGAGGAGAGGTGTACACACTACCGTGTCTGGCCACTACTGGCTCCACTCCTTCACCACTACCATGCTACCAGCTACCAGCCCTCCCTCCCTCCCTCCCTCCATCTCTCCTTCACTCAATCCTACTCCATCCTTTCCTCCCTCCCTCACTCCATCCAACTCCTTTCCCTTCCTCCATACCCATCCTGTGGGGGACAGTCCCCCCATATACCATATACTCATCCTGTGAGCGGCAGTAACTTCAGCCCACCCATCCTGTGTTTGAACATCGTACTACAGGTCCGGTCCCAGTCCAGGCCTCCTGGTTGATGTTCTAATCAATCAAGCTGTTAGTGCTAGTCGGACGCAAAACAACACATGCACTACAGCCTGACTGGTCAGGAAGTAACTTGAGGAACTCGGAACTCATCGCGCTCCTTATAGAAGACAACTAAGGGGTCTGTTGAAAAGTCTTGGTACCTTTGCACTGACTGAATTATCTCTTAGCGTACTCATGGCCTTCTCTTTCCAGTTGGTATCGGGCAATCTGCCGAGTCTCTTGCTTTCGTAGGGAGTGACTTCAATATGCAGATTTATATCAGTCTCTGAAGATTTTTTTCCAGGTGTAAATTACTATATATCCTTTTCGCCTACCTTCCAGGGAGTCCAGTCCAAAGAATTTTAAATGTTCTCAATAACTTAGATGTTTGACTGAATTTATGCAGGCAGTAGAAGTTTTCTGTACATTCTCCAGGTCTGCAAATTTCTCTGCCTTAAGAGGGGATGTTAATGCAACGCTATACTCCAGACAGGTGCCTTAAGAGACACGTTAGTTCCCCTGTCTTCTAATAACATAACTCACGAAATCGTAATGACACGATTGCAAACAAAGTCATGCTGACTTTGTGGTCACAGTGGTGCCTATGCTAACCTTCCTATGGTGTAGAAATATACCTAGTTGGATGAATCTTATTGTAGCCAGTTGACCCAGTGGCTAACGCGTCGGTCTGGAGTTTTGAGATTCTCTGATCGTGGGTTCTAACCCCACCCGTGATATGGTTTGGTTTTTTCTAATAACATGTTCATTTCTCCACTATAATCTACCTTGTCCATAATTACTATCGCATTTGCTTTGTCTGTTTCGTAAGATGAAGTCCAGGATCTTTCCTTAATTCAGGGTATAACTTAAATCTTTGATGACAAGTGTGTTGTAGAGGTCTGAGCGCAGCTCAGTTGTCCTCAAAGATTTGTTAAGTTACACCACAAATTAGCGAAAGATCCTAGACTTCACCTTACGAAACAAAGCAAATGAGATAGTAATTATAGACAAGGTAGATTATAGTGGAAAAATGAACATGTTATTAGAAGACGGAGGAACTTACGTGCCTCTTAACATACATTATTATTGGCATTCCTTATTTTGAAGGTTCTTGTTATCCAGCCAATTATTATCTTTAATTTATTGTAGTAAACGTGTTATGTTACTGTGGGAGGTTGATAAACACCTCATACCCATCATGTGAATGATAGTCAAAAGATGTACAGAGTAAAGTTATGTTTTTATACTTTATTTTAGTGCGATACATGAGTTTATTAAGTCTCTTCAGCTATGCACTCACTGCTCACGCAGTTCCACTCCCACACTTCATGCAAATCTTGTCTCTGTGTTTCATGTTTATGCATTTACACCAGAGAATTCTTTTGCCTGATATTATTCTCAAACTGCTTATAGAAAACAACAAAATTTTGGTAACTGTCTTGATATCAGTGAGCTTGAAGACAACCCGGAGTTATAATTACGTCCCTGATGTCATACGAGCTGAGTAAAGTACACGGGAGTATATGGGAAAGACAGATAGTAGAGTACTTGCGAGTCCACACTGAGGCTATCTGCTGAGAGTAACTTTCTACACAGATAACACGCACATACGAGAGTGAAAGGTTCTTGGGAACGTTTCGGTCTGGCTTGGACCATTGACAAGTCACACTGACAGAAGAGAATGAGCCAATATATATATATATATATAAACGAAGCGGACAGAAACTACTACTTCCACTACCAGGATTGCCACTACCACTGCTTCCTTTCCTTCCATTCTTTCTCCCGTCCACGTCTTCCTTGCCTATATGTACTGCCTCACTCACTCTCTTACGTCAGTGCGACTTGTGAATAGCCCAGACAAACGTCGTCAGAAGCTTTTCTCTCTCTCTCTCCTATGTGCGGGTTATTTGTGTATTATTCCAGTCACGGCATTGTGCCTTTTCGCTCTTTAACTGTCTACTTCTGCCTAGATTAAGGACTATCGTGTATTATCCAGGTGTGTGAGTCAAGGATAGTAAAGAAGGTATACGCTGGATAATATACAGAGGACGATGACAAAGGTGATCTTGTGTATCAGAAATCTTGTATTAATGTTGGTAGAATTACCGGCAATATGTTGGGTAAAAGAACACAAGTGTAACTAATGCGCATTTTATTATGGCAACGTTTCGCTCTCCAGGAGAGCGAAACGTTGCTACAATGAAATGTCACATTAACTGCAATTGCGTCCTTTTACCTAACATCAGAAATCTTTCCTATGAAAATAGACTGAGGCACTGAATCTGCACTCTCTAGAAAGAATAGAATTAGAAGGAATACGACTGAGGTGTGTAAATGGAAAACAGGAATAAATGAAAGGAATATAAATAACGTGTTAAAAATATCTAACCAAGACAGGACTCTCAGCAATGAGTTCAAGGTGAAAAAAATTTAACTTTAGAAAGGATATAGGAAAGCATTGGTTTGGTAATCGAGTTGTGGATGAATGGAACAAACCTATGGACGAAAACCTACTTACACTAGTGGATGGTTCCACTGTGATCCCGTGTGTGTGTGTGTGTGTGTGTGTGTGTGTGTGTGTGTGTGTATGTGTGTGTGTGTGTGTGTGTGTGTGTGTGTGTGTGTGTGTGTGTATGTATGTAAAACAATCGCAGACAGGCGGTGTTAACAATGCAAGACAAGCCACGGGGGGGGGGATGGAAATCTTAATCTTAAGTACTTTCACACTTCTCAGTGCGTCATCAGGAGCTGTGCAATGTTACAAGGGCAGCAACAAGAGAAATGAAGGGAAGTTTTTCAGAGTATGGCACCCTGGGTGGCACCAGCCAGTATCTCGCTCTGAATGAGGGAGGGAGGTCCGTCCAAATGCCAACCACCCACTGGTCCCCCCACACCCCACCCCATATGGGGTCGGGTGGGGTAGGCTCACGGTTTGCAGATAGCATGAGGTAAACCACGGTACAGGTGAGTTGTAAAACTCCAGACCGACGCGTTAGCCACTGAGCCAGCTGGCTACAATAAGATTCATCCAAGTAGGTATATTTATACACCATAGGAAGGTTAGCATAGGCACCACTGTGACCACAAATACAAGTTTTTTACAGAGGAATCTCCCACCAACGTCGCCGTAACAAACTCTAGCTCAAGTCCTCTCAAAGCCGTCATCATGACTCAAGAAATCGTAATAACTCACTCACCGCGAGTTTAATCCCCACCAGTACCGTGGTTAGTTTGCAATCATATTATTACGATTTCTTGGGACAGCATCAGGTAGAGTAACTAAGAGATAGTTAATAACCAGACCTAAGCTTCTAACCTCTGGGAACAGGTCATGTGACGTAAGAAGTCACATTATTATAGTGAATCATACACATACGGAATAAATACCCTCATTTTGTCAACAAACAATACCCGATGTCCCAGAAACTTCTAGAATATTCAGGAAACACTCTCAGTGTCAGTCAATATGCCTGTGTGATCTCTCCTATTCAGGCTTTTCTTTCTTATAATAAACAGGTAATTCCTGAATTTTTCTTTTTAACGCCGCTATTATTATTATTATTATTATTATTATTATTATTATTATTATTATTATTATTATTATTATTTTTTTTTTTTTTTATTATTATTATTATTACATTGCTGACAGCCTAATTCAGTAAATAACTAAACTAATTGCAATCACCATGTTGACATCAACTATGTGTACCTTGTGCCGCTGTACCTAGACGGGTTAGGACCTCAGTAGGTCACTCTGCCTCTTTTTTGGGCTCTCCTGGGATAATCACACATGTGCACCAATACCTAAATGAACCCCCATGACTACGTCCTTACTACTGATGTTATATCAGTCAGGTTGCAGCCTATATTGCAGCACACCACTCAGAGCACCTGTAACCTTACGACACCTGTGTGCAGTAGTAGCTGGGTGGGTTATACCGACGGTCACGGCAGACCTAACATGTTAAATATCGACGTTCAAAATAGACTTAGCAGGATGTTATATATTATATCGATGTTTACGACGGGCGTACTATGGTGCTCAGTTTACAGACTTGCAACATTGCACAGCTCCTGATGACGCAGTGAGAAGTGTGAAAGTACTTGACCTTAAGATTTCCACCCATCTTGGCTTGTCTTGTCTTACAACTACTGTAACAAAAATAGTGAAATCTCAAGCTCACTCCATAAATATTTCTGCTGAATTTGAACAAAATAACTCATTATCTTTTTATGTCTTAACTATTAATAACAACCATGATTTTAAATTCAAAATTTACGGAAAACCAACAAATATCTGTTCATATATGAACAATTATTCTTCACATCACGATAGAGTTAAACTGTCTGTATCTGCATCAATATTTTGAGAACTTTTAAGTATTTACAGCCCAAAGTTCATAGATGAAGAAATATTGAAGATTTATGAAATAGTTAAAGATTTAAAATACCTAAAACACTTAATTGATAAATCTTTTATAATTGCTAGAGATATATTTTGCAATTCAGAAACAAACAATTATATTCAGCCAAGAATATGTTGGTTCTTCCTTAGCTTTAAAAAAACTTTCTTGATATATTTTCTCTGCTTGACAGTTTTAATATCAATGTTGTATTTCAAAATCTTGATGCAGTAATTAAAAAACTTTCCCCAAAAAATGCTGATTGTTTTGTCTATAAAATTCCCTGTAAAAAAATTTTTTATTCATGTGAGAGATTTTAACCACCCAATTG